CCTCTAGTGCTAACCTTCGGCGCACCTATTGTAAGTGAGGGCATTGGTTACAAGAACTGCTCTATGACAGAACAGCTTTTCTATCGCCCCCTTAGCATACCAAATTTGAAAGGAGTTCGACAAGGCGACAACGTGTTGCCAAAATTGTTTACCACCTTGCAGAAGATGAAGAAATTACTGGATTGGAACGAGAGAGGTATACATGTTGATGAGAGATTCCTCTCAAATCTTCGTTTTGCGGACGACATTGCTCTTTTCTCGCGGAATATCAAGCGTAACGATGCTGGAAGAGAGCGAAGTATGGAAGCGGATAGGATTGCGAATCACAGGAGGAGACCCAGTTTACGAAGAACGCTTTCTGCGAGATGGAATTAGAAGGCTCTCCAATCGCGGAGAGTTCTTCCTACGTATATCTCAGGCATGATGATCATGGAAAACGATTTAAGAATTGAGCAGGAAGCGGAGCCCTAAAGGAAGCCACAGACCAGCTGACTAAGGGCTCCGAGTCCACCCGTTCGATACGTCCGTTCTCCCTGCGCTCTGTTACACAGCAGAGACGTGGCCTGACACTGTGACTACGTGGAAGGCTCTCCGAATAACCTACAGAGCGCTGGAACGACGTCTTCTGAAGTCAACCGACGAACTTAACATCTGGTCGGACTTTGCAGTTTGGATAAGAGATCGATTTCTCGTCTTCGCGATCCAGCGTATTACGTCTCCAAAGCAAAACACCGATAGGCTGATCACAGAATGAGAAGTACAGAGGCAGCAGGATACTAAGAACTCTATAATGGATTCCTCGCGAAGCAAAACTTCTTCGAGAGAGGCCACCGACCTGAAGCGCTGACGTGCTCGTGGCAAGCCTGGACCAGCTGATTATCAGCTGGTAACGGTTAATGGATATGGATCTTGCGAACGTCGTTGCTGCAGTTCAATACCAACATCCTGCGAAGAATTTTGCATAAACCGACTTGTACTCAAAAACATAGGAACAGCACATCATAAGGCTTATAGAG